TGCCCCCTCACCCACCCAATGGTCAGCACTCCCTGCTGAAGCCGCTCACAGCCCACACAAAACTGTCTGGAGCAGGCACAGGCAGCCCCATGCGGGCTGTGAGTGACTGCAGCATAGGGTGCTGGCCTTAGGGCAGGCAAGGTGCTGCTTTTCCCCTATGCTCAGCACCAGCTTGTAACCCACCCTACTGCAGCCTGGCAGTGGGACCGGGTTACAAGGTAGAGCTAAGCGCAGTGGGCAGAGAAAGCAGTCCCTCACCTGCCCCATGCCTGGTGCCCCACACTGCAGCAGCTCACAGCCTGCCTGGGGCTGCTTGTGCCTGCTCCAGACAGCCCCACATGGGCTGCGAGCGCCTGCAGCATGGGGCACTGGTCATGGGGTGGGCGAGAGGCCGCTTTTCTCTGTGCAGGAGAGGAGCCTGGAGAAAAGCTGAGCGCAGGGTGGGAAGTGGCCCCTCCCACACCCAGTGCCCCATGATGCAGGCACTTGCAGCCCGCATGGGGCTGTCTGGAGCAGGCACAGGCAGCCCCATGCAGGCTGTAAGCAGCTGCAGTGCAGGGCACTGGGCATGGGGCAGGGAGAGTCTGCTTCCTCACCCTATCTTCCTTCCCTGCCCAGGGTCCCCACCTCTCACTTACTTGGGCTTCCTGCACCGGGGCAGCCAACCCAGAAACCCCAGCTGGGGCTTACAGCTGGGGGGTGGGGCCAGGCAGGCCCTGCTGTTGTTGGAGCCCCCCCACTGGGCTTCCCCTGGGTCCTACTACCCTTGGTTTCTATCATTTTTGACAGGAACCAAAGACAGAGAAATATTCATTTTCTACCTTTTTTTTTTTTTTTTTTTTTTTTTTTTTTTTTTTTTTAAGGGCCCCCCGCGGGTGGGTTAAGGGGCCCCCCGGGGCTGGATAGAATGCCCTCGCAGGCCATATCCAGCCTCAGGCCGTATTTTGCCCAGCCCTAATATAGATAAAGCAAAAACTAATCTTGCCCCAGAGAGGTTAAACTAGTATTTTGGGTAAAGATACATTCAGAATTAATTTTTAAAAATAAAATAAATATCTAGCTTATAAAAGTCTCCACATATACACAGTACAAGCACAACATTAAGATCAGCAAGTCAGTACAAAACAGAGCAGGTACATAATCAGTATGGCATTTCTACAGACTTCAAGATCTTCTCTCTTTCTTCTGCAGTAGGCATATCTGGTTTCACACCATCTCTCCTCCTTTGCACCATAATGTTCTGCTGAAAATAGAAGAAAGAGTATGAGAACACACAGTTTCTCAGAAGTCTGTCTCTGAAATCAGCTACTACTCCGAATGGACTTCTGAGAAGAAGCACTTCTTATATCAGAAGCCAGGTATGTAAATCTGATTAGCTGATAACAACTAAGTGAACTGGCATTTAAAAAAGTTAAGCAATGTCAGATAATCACCTTACTGTTCAGTAGACATTGAAATTAAATACTGTTCACAAACTATAGAATTCCTTTGGCACAACATCAGATTAATACATAAATTGTATGGTCCACAAGAAGTACTGACCAAGCATGATTTGAAAAAGCCTTTTGTTGATGCCTTTTCTCTTTTACTGATAGGGTAGAAGGGAAGATATTCTCATCTGCAGCTTGTCCAAATGTACAAAGTTTCCTGCAACATCTCCAACACCAAAAAAAAAAAAGTGGGGGGGCGGGGGGGGGGGGGG